GACTTTTAATTTTTTGAGGTTTTTGCATACAATGTGAATGTAACCGAACCAGGTCCATCTGCTTTCGTGACTGAAAAAATGCTTAACAATATAGGTAAGACTTCAAAGTTATTGAAAACTTGAAAATGTACTTTATAAATTTTAAATTACAAACTTTAAAGCATTAAAATTTATTTGCTACATTGTATATTTTTTATGTTAAAACTTGAAATCGAAATTTATAACACATTATCGTTATATATTATTACATATATAACTGATATTTATTTACACTTTATTTCTATAAATTTATTAAATCAATTTTCATATTTAAAAATATGATTACCTGATTTTTAACCCATAGTTCTCTTGCTTTTTGTTATACTTGAGTCAATGTCTTACTTGTTTATGTTTGTTATGTAGTAAAATCTTTCTTATTTAAATTATCATCCACCATTTTTTTCTCTTTTGTCAGTGATCGATTAAAGATATTTAGAAAGCATCTTTAATCAAACAGATATGAGAGGACGTAGTAAGAATTCTAGAAAAAAATTCTACTCTAAAAATCAAACGTTGAAATATTTCTGAAATAGGACAGCTATATGTGAGCAAGAAATATATAAAAGGGGCAATGAACACAAAGCTTTAAAAACCAACCAGACGAATATGTTGTCTGTAAATATAAATAAACTTGCAAAACGATAAAATGCATCATAAAGCAAGAGCACTACATTAAAAACAATATGTTCGTAAATATTCGTTAAATTTGAAATTCAAATTAAAATAAAAATGCATTAATTATTTTAAAATTCCTTTTATGATTTTTCCGTTTTTGATTTTTTTTAACTCTTTCTTTTAACGATGTCAATATATATTTCTATTATGCATCTGAGCATTTTCAATGATGGTTTAGGAAAGTTGAAAAGAAGAATCCTCTATTTTTAGTAAATACTATAATCATTTGACTTATATTATATGCAATGACAAAGTCATTTAGTAGCTTCTTACAATCTTTTTAATGTATATGATAAATTAATGTATATGATAAATTGTCTTCTTGAACTGATTCCAATTATAAAAATATTTCGTTTTAGACCCAGACGCACCTGGTAATTGCACTTTTACAATAAACAACAATAGCGTAATTGATCTAACATGGTTTCATCCTTGGAAGACAGGTGATCATCTGCGATCTTTTCGCATTCGGGTAATAAAAATGTCTTCAAATCTTAGAAACAGTTACCCGCAAAGTTCCATGAACAAAAATATTTGTACATATGAATATCCGGTGATACAGTACATGCGTAACTATAGTGAACGATTGTATTTGCTTCCGTCAACGCAGTACTTCATCGATGTTCAAACTATAACAATCGAAAATAGGTCCAAAAGCTCAAATTTCATGGAAATTTATACACCTTCAACTGCACGTTTTGACGGAGAATTGAACGCCACAGTACATAAATCTAATTTTTCTATTTTATTAAATATACCGTTTGTTGCGAACGATACGCTAGGCAGCATATTGCGCGTTATAGTAAAAGGTCCTAAATCGCTCTGCGACCAACATTTGGAATTGTCTAAATATCTTCGAGAGCAAGTTGGATTGAAGATGAACGAAGTCGCTTGGCAAGCTGCTGAAGTTCCGGTATGCATACAGAAAAGTTGTTTTATTCGGATAAATATATTTTATAAACTAAATAAGAAGAAACAATTAAATAATAATTAAACAATCTAGATGCAAAAATATTAATCGTGTTCTATATGTATGTTATTAGTATGTTACATAAGATATTACATTATGGGAAAAAATGTGTTAAATTTAACATAAATCACATGTCTTAAACAGTCCACATTTACATTTTTGTGTTGATTTAACATAATATTTAAATAGTAACATTGACTATTAGCTATGTTAAGTCATTCGATTTGAATGCAAAAAATGTAATCTTGATTACAAAATTAATTATGTGATAAAGTTAACATATATAAAATGCTCTTTTTATAATTTACAAATGTATCTATTCAAGTTTTTAATTAATATAATATGTAGAAATTACATTACTTATTTGTTAAAAATTTAAAAAATTTTATTTTTTTTAACAAAAGATGTATATTAATGTAATAATTTCATTTTTGTTAAAGAGCAAATATATAAAAACGTTGATTTTACACTCTACAATTAATTAATTTTTTTATTAATATAAATTACATAGAATGTTAAGTTTTTAAATTACACACATACATTAAATAATTAACATATTTTTATTAAAAAATAATTCATTCAAGATTTGAACATTTCTCATAAACATAAAAATAATGTTATATAATATTGTTATATTCTTAATAATATAAAAATTTAAAAAAAAGTTCAGTTATAATAAGTAAATTCTCTTTTTCTTCGAAAATTCGTAAATCTCTCACTTTTAATATAGGACAACTCAATTATTTTTATGTTATACTATGTATAACAAGGCAAAACGTTGAGACGTGTCGAAAATCGAGATTGCATCGAAATAAAAAATAATAATAAATAAAGTGTACCATATTTGTTTTAAACTGTAAATCAAACTATTTTTTTTTACTAGTTAAATATTAATATATTTAATAAATACAATAAATACAATATATATAGTTGTAGTA